GAAAAGGAATATGTAGTGATGGGGAACTGTGATTAAATTTAGGAAGTGTTACGTTAAACCTAGTTGTTGCAGAACTTTTTAGGGCCTTTCAGCAATAACACAGGGTAACAGGTAGCTTGGCCCAGGATGCAGAGTTTGGCTGCTTGTGGAGACCTAAATGGCATTATGAGGACAGAAATTGCTCTTCCAGGCACCATTTCGTCCTGGTTGGTAGTGTTCGTCCACAGGGCACAGTCCTGGGCTCTTTTGCTTTGCTGCATCTATTTAGGTGCCTGCTTAGGAGGTGAATGTGTAGTTGGGAAAACACTTAGCTGGAAGTGACAGGATATCCAGCTGCCAGTGATTCCACAGAACCTGAAATCTGGAGGCAGGCAGGTGAGGGTCCTGGCAGTGAGTCATTGACAGCAAGCGCTTTCCCTCTTTGAACCATGTTGGCTTTTTATCTTCAGGATTATGGCTTCTTGATTGCAAGATGGTGGTTAAAGCTTTAGGTGTTATGGTTATATTTGAAGACAGGAATAGCTAGTTGGATAAGGTTTAGAATTTTAACATTCAGAAGACCTTTTTGCAAGCACCTCTGTCTTTTTTTTTTTTGTGGAACCGGGGATTGAACTCAGGCCCTTGTGCTTGCCATGGAAGTGCTTATTGTACTGAGCTATCCCCGGCCCTCTTCTTCCATTTTTTTAATCCACAAAGGAAAACACTTCCTGATAGCCCTCTGGGTGTGGCTGGCTGGGATAGGGTTATATGGCCAACCCCTTAGCTATAGGGTCATCTGCAAAGACTTGATTGTCATAGATGGATTATCGACTCTTCTTTTAGTCGGGTGTACTGTTTTTCCACTGGTAAGGAGAGAGAAAGTAGTTAGAATGCTCTTGTGTGTGTGGGGTTACTACTTGTGTCTGCCTCGCGTTCCTTTTACAAAAACTTCAGCCTGTATGTGGGTTTCTTTTGGATTCACTCAGAGGTGAGATGGGCTCCTCCCACTACCCCACAATGTCTAGGCCCTTTGGGCTCTTCTTCCCTCTTTAGGCCTTGTATGCTGTGTTCTGGACTCTAGCACCTTTTTTTCCCCCCTTTATTTTTAAAAATTTATTTTTGTTTGTTTTTTTAATGTATTTGGTACAGGGTCTCACTACACAGCTCAGACTTGTAGTGATCCTCCTGTTTTCAGCCTCCCAGTGCTGGAATTACAGGTGTGTGCCACCATGCCTGGTCTTGGTGGCCAGCTCAGTGTGCCTGGGGACAGGACCAGCATGGCGTGTGGTGCCCAGGATGGAACCCCATCCCTGCCTTGCTTACGCAGGTGCTTAGTCCGCTGAGCTATCTTGCCAGCCTGACTCTAGCACTTCTCTCACCTACTTACCCCTTTCCTCTCTCCTGGAGAGTAATTCAATATCCTTGTTTTTGGATAAACATTTAAATTTAGGTGATGTTTGTTTCTGCTCTGGTTATCTTGTGTGAGATTTGATTATCTGCTTGTTGATGATGCTGCCAGCTGCCTGTGTCTCCTAAGCTTTCGCAGATCAGTCCATGTATCATTTCTTTTTGGATTCTCTCGGTGGCATTACGTACATTCACACTGTACCAATATCACTCTATCCGCCTCCAGAAAGAATTCTTTTTCATCTTATGAGTCTGAAATGCTACACCTGTTTAAATAGTAACTCCTGTTAGTTTTTCCCACAGTCATTGGGGACTGCTATTCTACTTTAAATCTTTAGTCTTGCCTTCTCTTAGCGCTTAATGTAAGTGGAAACAGACAGTATTTGCCTTCTAGTGACTGGCTTGGATTATAGGTTTTTGTGTGAACATCTTCATTTCACATCTTGTATTTCAGATAACTGCCCAGGAGTGGAGTTGCTATATTCTGTGATAGTTGCATGTTTTGGAAGGGTCTATAGGGTGTTCAGGGTCTCACAACTAGATCAGACTCCTAGTGATCTGCCTGTTTACAGCCTCCCAAGAACTGGGATTACAGGCATATGCCACCACGCCCAGTCTCAGTCGCCATCTCAGTGTGCCCCGGGGGTGGGGCTGGCACAGCAAGGAAGGGTTTATTTTAGCTCAGTTTGTAGCTGTTTCTGTCCGTAGTTGGCTGGCTCCAAGGCAGGGCAACATGACAGAGGTGCCTGGCGGGAAGCAGCCAGCAGCAAGCCTCCCCCCTTTTTGTTTGGTTCAGGCTGCAAGCCTGTTGGTTGGTGCCACCCACACCCAGGATGTGCCTTCCATTATCCACACGCAGAACGAGGCTGAGCTGGTCCAGTTATCACACAGTCATGATCCAGCTCTGTCCTAGAAGCCCACCTTTGAGGGCAAGAAGTTTTGGAGGCACGTCTAGATGATAAGCTTTAACAGTGCTGCTTCTGAAATTTACAAGTTTTAGAAGCATGTGTTGTAACAAATGAAACATTTCCCACTCCCTTTGTCTCTTTTTGCCTTTGGCCCAATATTTATATTTTTT